TTGAGGCACACACATATACACACACACACACACACACACACACACACACACACACACATACAGGCACAGAGAAAGACACAGAGAAAGACATAGACACACACACACACACACACACACACACACACACACACACACACACACACACACCAACCCACACACGCACACACATCTACCCACACGCACACACAGAGGCATACTTTGCGTGGCCAAAGGGAGTGGAGACGAGCGACTCTGCGGCGATGCCTTGATCGAGCTCAACTTGATCCGGCCCACGCGTCAACACCAGCGAATACACGAACAGCAGCACCCCAAACGGGCCCTGTCACATCCCGCAAGGATTGGGGTCGATGAGGGAGGCAAATACATGCCAAGTGAGCTTTGATAGATGTAACGTAACGGTCAAACACCCCCGCAAGGCACACACTTACACACAGGCACATAAACAACACGCGAGCCACAGACAGACGGATACAGACTTACAAGCACACACACTACCTCATACACACACACACACACACACACACACACACACACTCGCTCTCTCTGCGTACATTGTATGCGTTGAGCATGGAGAGGAGGAACGCCTCTGCGTCGTCCGCGTCGACGTCCATGACAGCAATGTGCTGCTCAAGGAAAGCAATCGGTGCCGTGAGCTCGCTCTCTGGTGGGACAACCTGGTCCCGGCTGGACACGTGCTTAGCATACTTCTCCAGCTCCTCTGCGGGTGCATCGAGGTTGGCGAGGGTGACTTGTCCATCCTCTGTCGGTCGCGCCTGGACGAGGATGTCTGTCAGTGCACGTACTAGTGTGTCCACCACGTCCTGCAGCAGCAGCAACAGCAGTAGCGTCGCAAAGGAGGGATGGGGTGTGGAAGCAGCGAGCGGAAGGATGTGTCAAGGGATTCGGAGTGAATGTGTGAGGCGGTGTGAATGCACGAGATGGCAAGGTATGTGCATGAGCAGCCCTGTATCACTCACTGCGAGCCGCAAGCACAGCTTACTTGAGGGGAGCGCCAGTTGCCTGGAGCATCACCGTCGTCATTTGGAAAGAGCAAGTGCCGCAGCACCATGCCCTGGGTTGATGAAGATGGAGGTGGAGGTGGAGGTGGAGGTAGCGCATTGGTTGGGTAAGGTGAGTAATGGGGCACAAGGCGGTTGGAACAGGGCAGGTGGACACCACGCCCAAACAGGGTGATCGGAACATGGCATAGACACACAAACCCACAGACTGCCAGGCAGACGGACAAGGCCTACAAGACAGACAGACAGACACACACACACACACACACACACAGAGACAGACAGACACACACACAAACATGAACACAGACACACACAGACAGATACATAGACAGACAGACAGACACACACACACAGACAGATACACAGACAGATACACAGACACACACACACACACACCTGTACTGGAGCAATGATACCGCACGGGCCTCCTCGTCGCTGGTGGAGTGCTGTTGGTTCGCTCTCGGCAAACTCAAACCCTAACGCAAAGCGTCCAACCATACCCATCATGTAAGACAGAGCACACTGTAAGCAAACCCCCAAACGCTCCCCCTCCCTCCCCCAGCACGATGCACATGGCTCCACACATGCACGCACCTTGCAGCCAACGGAAGGTGATCTCCCGATCTGTCTTGAGGGTGCCCCATATCACCTCTGTTGCTCGCTGAACCGCAGCCATCTTCTTGTTGTTGTTGTTGCTGGTTCGGGTTTGGTTGTGTCCAATTACTGTCTTCTGGTTTTGCTTTGTTGTGTGTGTGGAAATGACACAGAGACTTTGAATGACGCAAGCCAGCAAGTAAGCAAGCAAGCAAGGTGGGTGTCATGCGCTGTCACGTTTGAGGTGTGCATATGTTCATGCGTGTATGTGCTAGCGGCAGCAAGGGGTGTACAACGTAACGGGTAGATCAGGTGACGAGTCGTATTGGTTGCGTTGGCTGTGTTGGCCCGCGACACCAGTCAGCACAATGAACAGCATGGACTTTAACAAGAGCTACCACGACAAAACAACAACCATCACGACAACAACGACGACAACGAGACGACATGAACATTACACAAGGAACATATGAACAGCAGTCAACGCTGCATGTGGCAACTAGAGGTCTGCGCGCTCCCGCACTTGCGCAAACGTCGTCTCCGTGACCAGCTCGCCGTCCTTGAACACAACTTGCAGCAGATCCTGCACGCCGGGGAACAGGTTGGGTGGATCGCAAAAGGGATTGGATGGTCAGGGTCATTGTGGGCAGGCAATTAATGAACAGAAGATGCGCTGAGACATGCACACACAGACACACAGACACACAGACACACAGACATACATAGACACACACAGACACAAACACACACACACACCTTTGCGGGATCGCCCTTGTTCTGCTGTCGGGTGACGAAGTTGCCCTTGTCATCCTTCTCCAGGGTCAGCCGGCCCTTCTTGCTCGCTTTGCCTGCAGCGAAAACAGGAGCGAAGCGGGCGGCAACAACGTGGTGAGACCAGACAAAGGGGGGTGGGGGCATGACAGCCACACAGACACAGACACAGACACAGACACACAGACACAGACACAGACACACACACGTGCGTGTGGCACCTGGGTCTGTGATTGGGTCCTTGAAGACGTCGCGATCAACGCCGTCAACAGTGATGAAACTGCACTTGAATGCGCACTTCTGAGTGTCGCGGTTGAGTTTCTGCAGGAGAGACCCGCCGCTGCCAAAGGTGACGTTGTCCGCAGACCACTTGGCTTCCTTCTGCTCGCACAAACGGTGGTGATCGGGCGAGGTGTGTGTGTGTGTGTGATGTTGATGATTGGGGGTGATGGTTTGCACGAGCAAAGGCTGCTTGCAAAGTACAAACATATCAGCAGGCAGACAGGCAGACCTACAGACACAGACACACACACACACACACGCACAGACATACACACACAGACACACAAAACAAAACACACACACACACACACACAAACAAACAAACAAACAACGAAGCAGTTGGATGGGGTGCGTACCATGCGTGCGAGGATGTTTTCGAGCGAGTCGAGGGAGATACCGTCGCCCTGGATGAGGCGCAGGTACGGCGGCAGGAGCTTGTACCCTTTGCTGTTCGTCAGCGTCCCAAAGGCCTCCCCAAGCAGCTCGAGGCACTTCACAACAACCTGTTCAGGTTGGTGTGTGTGTGTGCGTGTGCGCGTGTGTTGTGGAGGAGGTGGGATGTTTCAACGGGCGTCGGTGTTGAAAAGTGAGATTGAGAGAGTGGCATCAAAACAACTGCGTGCAAGTGTGTTCACACACACACATACACACACACACACACACACACACACACACACACACACACACACACACACACACACACACAC